ACACACACACACACACACACACACACACACACACACAGCCTCAAAATAAAAGCAAAGCCAAACAAAACCAAAAAACTGAACGGTCAGTGTAAGAATTTTTGGTGTATTTGAGAAGTCTTCACAATGTCCTTGCTAAAGGCAAAATTAAGTATATCTTAGGTCTATAAAGCATGTTTGTATATATAAACACACGTATTCTGCAGTAAATGGCAGATTCAATTTTAAAGTTAAAGAATGCTCACATCATACCTTTTCAGAACTCCTTTGCTAAGCAGAGGACAAGCTCAGCTATGTAAGCACGTGTAACTTTTCCTTTTTTAATTTATTCAATCAACAAACTATGTATAAGTTATAGGGTCAGGAGCTAAATCAGATACATAGAGAATCGATTTTCACAAAAGTGACTTTAGTGAAGATGGGGAAATAAAATTAGAAATGCAATCCCATCCAGAAACTGATAAAGGCACAGCCTGAGACTTTTTCGTTGTAAGGTCTGGAAATGAGTTTATATAAACACTTCAATGTGAAACAGACCATACAATGTCCTACCACACAGTAAATGCTAACTAAAGCTGTTTTACCACCATTTCTAAATGCTTTCTCATGTTATGAACAAAACAAACAAAAAAACTATCATGAGAAATCCTCACCAATTCTGCAAAAGGTGAAAAATGTACATGGCTGAAAATCTTCAGTGTCCTCAAGTAAAGACAGATCTAAGTCCCCTTTTATCAACACTTTTCCTTCTGCCTACCCTTTTCCCTAGGCACCTTGGTAAACATTCAAAATAAGTGGTCTAATATTCTGTCATTCAACAGGTGTCACTGTATGACCAAAATACTCAAAGTAAATATGGGCTAATTAATATTCAACCTCAATTCCCCTACCTTGTGAACAGGTGATGATATCTCATCTTCATGTGGTCTTTTTAATCCTCTCTTTAAAATGCTGGTGGATGGAGAAGCCAAAGGAGACCAGACACAGCGTGTCTGCATGCCACTAGGACTGCCATTTGCTGATAGAAGTAAAGGATCAAGTTCCCTTAATTTTTGAGGAGATGCATTATTGTCTTCTGTTATTAGTTCGGAGATGGCTGTTTCGGATGTCAGAGACTGTGAGGTTTCCTCCACTTTCTCTGAAGTAGGGTGAACTTCTTGTAAAATTTCATCATTCCCTTCTACCATTTGATTGTCATCTAATGTTTCTTCAGACTTACTAAGTTCAATATTTGCTTCAGTTTTATTAGAGTCCACCTTTCCTTCTTCAATACTCATCTCAAGTGTATTGAAAACAAAGCTGTCGATTCCCATAGTCAATGTCTTTGTATTGGCCTGTACAAGCTTAGTAGATATTTTAGTAGTCAAGTCCCCATCCTCTGTTTCACTGACTTGGTCAGCTTCAGCATTTACCTCACTAATCACTGTCTCTTCATAATTTTCCATTTTAGCATTCATTTCTTCAGATGAGTTTGGACTAGAATCATCACTTCCTTCATCTAATTCCCCAACTGCTGTTTGTTCAGGTATCTCTGCCTGAGCACTCACTTTTACAGGTGTGGTATCATCAGAATAACCAATACCAGAATTAAATTCTTTAGTTACTGTTTCTTCGGCATTCGGTTCTTCAGCTGCCTCTGCTTCAGAGTTATCACATCTTTCACTGTTTATCTCCATTACCTCTTCTTCAAAAACAACAGTTTTGGCATCCTTTTGTTCAGATAAGCCTGCTTCAGATTGATCACTTTCTGTATCCAATTCAACAGCTTCTACTACTTCTGGATTAAATATTGCTTCAGCTTCACATGCATTTGTTTCAACACTGGCAATGTTCTCTATTGTTAGTTCCTTCTCCAGGACAGCCTCTGGCTTTTCTTTGTTAATCTCCAAAGTAGAATATTCCAGTGAATTATCTCTGGAATCATCTAAAGATGGGCCAACAGTTTTACACTTTTTATTGGACGGCCCTTGGCTCTCAAGAGATGTTGCTTCTGCAGAATTCGTATCACAAGTTTCTTGTTCAAAATTCACTACTTCGGAAGGAAGAGGGTTTTGGACAGTATCTTTTTTGAACTCAGTCTCAGATAGGACTAACGAATCATTAACAGTATCATTCTCCTCCTTGAGACCCAAATGAAAATTCACAGCATGATGCTCATCTGAAAGTTTTACCTCCGAGTACAGATTAACTTTAGAAGTTTCTGATACAGGTACAGCTGTTTGCATGTCTGTCTTTTTTGTTTCAGTGACCTTTACATCGTAATTTTCCATATTCTTTAACCCAATGAGTGACTTTTCCTGAGGTTGTGATTTTTCTCCACAGCACTCACAACTTTTAGATCGCCTTACCCTCCTACTTCTCTTATGTTGGCATTCAAGTGTTTGAGAAGATTTTTCAGAAAGCAAAGACATGTCTGATGTCCCTATTTTTGAAGATTCTCCCACACTGTTATTTTCTACAGAATCTCGTTTTTGTAATCTCTTACTGGCATTTCTAGTCCTGAGATTTGATTCTGGCACTGATGGGTTTGAAAAAGAATATTCTGCACACTTGTTGGTTTTGATTTTTCCCTCATAAGTATTTGATACGTCATCAGAAACCTGCAATAAATCTGAAGATACTGTAGAATCTTCAAGAGTTACACTACTCTCATCTTTTTGTTCACAAATCTGAGATTTTATGTCTCTGTCTACGTCAGAATTTGCTTTACAATCAAGTGTCTGGTTTTCAATGTTTATACATTCTTGTTTTACCACTTTCTCTTCTTGATCTTCAATGTCAACACTATCGCTGCTTTTGTTTTTCCATTTTCCAGATCTCTTCTTTTTAGAACCTTCTTCTTTTGCCTCAGAACTATCAGATTCTGAGTTTTCAATGCTGGATAGTAAACCTTGGGATGCTCTTCTTGTTTGATACCGTGTTCGTCCACTTACTGGTTTTTCAGAGGACTTTTCTGCAATGTCCTGAGCACCGTCGCCCTCAGATTTAATATTCTCAAGGTCTAGCTTTCTTTTACTTTCATCAATTTCAGCATTAGTGCTGGTTTCCCCAAAAGTCTTCTCATGTAAGTTAGTTCCTTTCTCTACATTTTCCTGCACAGTTTGTTCAGAAATCAGTTTTTGCTTAAGTAACAAGTCATCTTTTACCTGCAATGGGCTCTTCTGAAGAGGTTTTTCTTCTTCTTTACGTCTCTCTTTTTTTTGATTATTTTCTTTCTCTTGGCTGTCAGTGGTGGGCTCTGCTATTTCTGAACGTCGCCTTGACGATCGTCTAAGGGTTTTCTGGCTTGGAGTTATCTGAATAGTACTATCCTCATCTACTATTTGATCTGCTGGTGTTACAGTTGGGGGTGTATTTTCTTTGGATTCTAAATTAATTCCTAATGTTTTGTCTTCTACAGTACTGTTTTCTAATAACACTGCATTTTCTATTGTTGGCTTAAGCACCATATCCTCATACTCCACTGCAGATTCAGAGAGATGAGTATGGTTATTATCTAACATACATTCTGTCTGATTAAGCAAACCAGGTTGGTTATTTTCTAAGGCTACCATTCCATCAACAGATTCCTGAGTATTTTTCTCCTGCTCAGATCTCATTAAGAGCTTAGACCTTTTATTCCCAGTTTGTTCACCTTTACTTGACTTTCGGCTTGATCTCTTAATTCCATGCACTATTTTTTCAGAGTCAGATTTTACAAGAGCTATTTCCCTTTTCTTTGTTTTTGATGGAATATCTGTTTTACTCATGTTTTCCTGGTTATTTTTCACTGTAACAGTTGATGACATATTATTTAAGGGAGATGCACTAAAAGGTCTATTTTCTGAACCATCAAACTTCTCCAAAGTAATAAAAGTTTGCCTCCGACTTGTAGGCTGTGGGGGAGTTCCAGAAATGATGACATTAGAAACTGAGCTACTGTTGACACCAAAAGTATTTTCTGCACTAGATGCACATTCAGTTGGTGTTTTCGTTGATGAAATTAAAGCTTTCTTTCTGGCATCATTATTACTGCTCAGTATGTCTGGGCTGGTTTCTTCAATAGAACCACTCTCATTATTTGAAAGGGAACCCTTTTCAGGATGTTCATCCATACCACAGTTTTCTGTGACATCTTGAGGAATGACAATGTCACTCTCCATTTGTTCCTCCTGCACAGAGAAGTACACACATATATAGATTAGTCTGCAAATAAGTCTGACTTTGTGGGGATATCTTAGTATAAAACTTCAGTAACTCAAAAGGTAACACTTGACTTTCAATATTTTGCAAATATTCCAAAGGTGGTGGTAGACACCCATTACTTTGTGTTTCTAATTATAAATATTTAATAAAGCCAAATATTTTATTTTAAACACAAATACCCACAAATACAATGACTACAATTCTGCCAAAGTCTGCCAATAAGAGTTAAGAGATTATGCAATACATCTTAAAATTAATACACAAGACTTCATAATGGAATGGTAATTCTAAAAACCCCAAAATATGAAATACCAAATATACCTTAAATATCACCTTGGAATCTTCCTTTGATTTTTCAGTTAAAGTAGGAACTTCCCTGAAATAAAAATGTGCAAATTAAAATACTGTTTTTAAAAATTTTATTTATTCTTTTTAGAGAGAGAGAGAAAGAGAGTAGGGGAGAGGCAGAGAGTCAGGGAGAGACAGAATCCCAAGCAGGATCCCTGGTGTCAGCTCAGAGCTTGATGTGGGGCTCAAAACAATGAGCCGTGAGATCATGACCTGAGCCAAAATCAGAGTCAGACGATTAACTGAGCCACCCAGCTGCCCATAAATTACTTTTAATTAAAAATTAGAAAACCAGTTACTTCAACATCTTCCATACTTACAAAGACTCTTCATGAGTATACTGAGAAAACAAAGTATCCTGTGAAACATCCAGGTTATTATACATGGCAGGAATATCGCACCTAAAAAAGATCTTACATAAGTAACTTCAAAATGCGACATTTCTACAATTAGAAATTAAACTTAAAACTGTACATCTAATTGTCTTTTAAGAACAATATAAAATCAAGGCTTAGATGCTTATTTTCCATGAAATCATCTTCCCTATCCTCTCCTCCAACACTACCTCCATTAATGATTCACCTCTGAATTCAGAAATATTTGGTACATAACTAAGTTACCATATGCATTATGAAATGCAACCATGTATGGCACATCTTTTCTGGCATTAAAATACAGATTATACATACAGTACCTCAGTTCTAAGCAGAAAGTTATAATTGCTGCACGACATCTAAATGTGAATACAGAATATCTAATTCAAGATAAAAGGACTACAAACCTCTTTGTTTTGAGTACTTCTTTCTGATGTTCAGTTAGTATTCTTTCCTTTGCTTCTTTTCCTTCGGAAGGTATAAACACAAAGTCGACAGACTTTTCTTCTTCCAAAGGCATTTCACTCTTTGTTTTTGGAGAAGGCGACTCTAATTTCAACTGCAAATTTTAAAAAAGCAAACATACCAATCTCTCTTCTAGCCCTCTAGAAAAGGTCTTCAATAATGACTAAGAAGTTTGAAATTCAAATCTATATGATATCCTTGGTTAATAATTAGTACAATGTCGCTCGCTTTCATTCTACCTCTAAAAAAAATTTGGAAAGTAAAAATTATTACACCTTTTTAAAAAGTAGGCAAGTTACCAACAAAGCACAGGCAAATATGGTTTTCAGGACAACATATGAAAATCAAATGGTTTGGCAAGAGAGTGTATCACCAGCTCTCAAGCTGAAGCATAAACTAGTCAAGTTAAGTAAAAGTTGCCAAAAAAATATGCACTACAGACCAAGAACACTGCTACTGTTACTTTTACTATTTTTCAATGCAATTGTTTTCATTCTATATCATAGTTGCTACCTGACTATATTGGAGTCATTCCTTAAAACATAACATTCTTTCATTTTGCCAAAGGCCATGGTTTCAAGACTCCAGAATATCCTTATTGGAAGTCACGGAAGAGACAATTATTGTCTGAAGATCAGTTGACTGGCAACTAGTTAAGATTACGAGTTTTAGATTTAGATGTCTTACCTCTGTGTTCTCTTTTACCAGAAGTTCTAAAACAGTCTCTGATGCTACCTATTCTATAATTATTCATACCTATAGTTGATTCCATTTCAAGGAACTTAATGGATTAACCATACTTAATGGATAGGTGCCTGAATTAACTATACTTAATGGATGCTACATATTAAACAGACTTAAACCTCAGGAAGAATGAATCATCTCCCAAAGCTTCTAGATTTCCATGCTATCCTACGTTCTTTTAGACCAAACTCTCTAATTCTTCTTTAATCCTTTTATTTAGCCTTTAATAGCTTTTTCTTCCAATTAGAAGCTATACATTCTCAAGCTACCACATACTCTAAAAGTTCTATTAAATAAATTTTGGAAAAACATACTTGGCCTGGTGGTTTCATATTTTCTTTCGCATCCTTTGTTTGTGCCAAAAAAGAATCTCTTTTTCCACTTGATTTTCTTTCCATGCCACTTATCTTCATATTTAACTGTGAATTCTCTGTCTGTTTTATTAAAAATAAAACAAAAAAATTTTTAACGTTTTATTTTGAGAGTGAGTGTGCACGTGCCAAGTGGGGAAGGGGCAGAGAGGGAGGGAGACACAGAATATGAAGCAGGCTTCAGGCTCTGAGCTGTCAGCACAGAGGCCAACACGGGACTCAAACCCACAAACCATGAGATCGTGACTCGAGCCGAAGTCAGACGCTCAACTGAGCCATCCAAGCGCCCCAAAATTAAAACTGCTAAAAAGTACAAATGCTCTACTTCTCCTTTTCATGCTTTGAAAATTCCAGTGTAATAAATGCTCATTTCAAATATTAAAATTCTTTCTCACTATTCAAACTTATTAATCATGTCAAAGAAAAGAGCCATTGTATAATTCAACATCAAACAGATTTGACATTTCTAACTGACAAAGCTGTTGTGCACCATTTTTAGAAATTTTATAAAATCTGAATGTTTTGAGAATTTTACAAATTCTAAGAATAAGATACATCATATAAATACTTAAAATGAATCAAATTACTGGACTCAAAGACCCTTCCAATTACTGAAAATATTTCTAAGAAGAAAAATCACAGCCATGAAACTCTAAACATCATACAACCAATAAAGCATACATGATAGGCCAAGAACTAACACTAGAGTACTCAGTTGGCCATTAACTTTTCTCTTACAGGTTCTAAACAAAGAACAGCTAGATTCCATTTGTTGTTGCTGAATAGAAACAAAGTTGTCTAAGAATGTGGTACCTCGTGGACATGCAGTACCCATGTCTTTACTCCTTGATCCTCAAACAGTAATTGTTACTGGCCAAAGTACCCTGGTTTCAAGTGGGTGTGTGACAACAAATATGTGTTTTTCTGACAGAAGGAATGAGGGATTTGATGGAAAGAACGGAGAAAAATGGAAGGGTAGCTCTTGCTTAGACATGGACCAATAATTATTATTTTGGTTTATCTGAAGTAACACTTAACCACGTATTATAATAATTACAACATTTGCAAAGGAATACATATGAAATGCCATAGTTCAAAAAAGATAATTAATGAACAAAAACCAGACTATTTACATGAGAATCTATGGTGAAATTTAATGCCCTTAAATCATAAAAGTATTTCAGGTCAACGGGCAACAAAAGCTAAAATAAATGAAATTCCATCGAATGGAAAAACTTTTGCACAATGAAGGAAAGCAACAGCAAAATGAAAAGGCAACCTACTGTATGGAAGAAGATATTTGCAAATCATACTTCTGATAAGGGGTTAGTAAACAGCTTAGTATTTTTAAAAATCCCAAATAAAAAATGGGTAGAGGACTTGAATAAGTATTTTTCCAAAGATATACAGATAGCCAACAGGCACATGAGAAAATGCTCAACATCACTAATTATCAAGGAAATGCAAACAAAACATGAGATATCACCTCACACCAGTAAAAGTGACTATTAATGGAAAAGACAAAAAATAACACGTGTTAGCAAAAGTGTGGACAAAGGGGAACCCTTGCACTATTGGTGGAATGTAAATTAGTACAGCCACTATAAAACACAGTATGGAGGTTCCTCAAAAAATTAAAAATAGAACTACCATACAATCCAGCAATTTTACTTCTGGGTATTCGTCCAAAGAAAACAAAAACACCAATTTAAAGAGATGCACACCCTCAACTTCATTGCAGCATAGTTTACAATAACCAAGATACGGAAATAACCTAAGTGATCAATGAAAAATAAATGGATAAACGGATAAAGTATATACAAAAAAAAAAAGAAGATATATACACATGATGAAATATCACTCAAACATAAAAAGGAATGAAATCTTGCCCTTTGTGACAACATGGATTAACCTAGAGAATATTATGCTAAGTAAAATCTCAGACAAATACTATATGATTTCACTAATATGTACAATCTAAAATATAACATGAACAAACAACACAGAAAAACTCAAAGACAGGAAACAAACTGCTGGACACCAGAGCAGGGATCAGGTGGGAGCGAATGAAACAGGCAAAGGGGATCAAGAGGTACAAACTTCCCATTATAAAATACACGAATCAGAGCAATCGGGTGGCTCAGTTGGTTAGGCATCTGACTCTTGATTTCGGCTCAGGTCAGGATCTCAAAGTTCATGAGATCAAACCCCACGTCAGGCTCTCCACTGACAGTGTGGAGCCTGCTTGGGATTCTCTCTCTCCCTCTACTCCCCCCCGCCCACACTCTTTCTCAAAATAAACATATAAAAATAAATAAATCATGTACAGCACAGGGAATAGTTAATAATACTGTCATAACTTTGCAGGACAGATGATCACTAGACTTATCATGAAGATTGTTTCATGATGCATAAAAATATCAAATCACCAAGACGTATACCTGAAACACAATATTGTATGTCAGTTACACTCGGATTAAAAAAAAAAAGTATTCAAGCCAGACAACTGAGGTCATACAAAAATCCTGTATTATGATGTTCTTATGTTCAAGTTTTACTTAAGTCAGTAACATATTTTAGGTTTTTGTCTTTAAAAAAAATTTTTTTGTTTAATGTTTAATTTTGGCAGAGAGAGCGAGCGAGCATGAGTGGGGGGAGGGGGGGGCAGAGAGAGAAGGAGACACAGAATCTGAAACAGGCTCCAGGCTCCGAACTGTCAGCACAGAGCCCAACGCGGGGCTTGAACTCACAAACCGCGAGATCATGATGGGAGCCAAAGCTGGACGCTCAACTGACTGAGCCACCCAGGTATCCCTAGGTTTTTGTCTTTTAAAAAATTACACGAAAATGGAATAAATGAACAACACTGAAAAATAAAAAAAATCCCAACTTACTCCATCTGAGTATGGGCCACTGGATTCCTCCATAAATTCAACATTTTCCAAACCAGGCAAGAAGAGCAGAAATTTCTGTTTGGCTTGTCTTAATATTGGTCTTTAAAAAAGTACATAAACATATATACCTTGAGTCAAGTAATACTGGTGAATACCAACGATATGTTAATAAGGACACTTTAATTACAATTTTAAAGTGACAAAATACATCGAGTTTAAAGACTTTCTCTATATACACACACAACTAGGAGAAATGTAGACAGTACATTTAGTTTCTTTGCTACATTCTTCAGTTCCCAAATTCTCTTATTTAAAAATTTTCCAAATTTTTATCATACAAAATTCTCAAGCAGGAGTAGACTTTTACATTAAATTCCCATGTACACATCACCCAGATGTAATAACCATCAATTTCTTGTCCTTTGTATTTCTTTTATCAAGGAAAGTTTTAAATTGCTTTTTATGTTCCTAAAACCAAAGTTATTCGAAGGACCAAAGTAAACCAAATAATGTTTAGTAATTACCACATCCTCAAAATAACATTTCAATTGAGGAATCCTCTGCAATGATTCCTCTAAGAAAAATTCATTTTAAAACAAAAATATCAATTTACGTATCACAGTAACTGTATGAAATAAGTTATTAGCATACTTTAACTCTTCAGGATAAGTCAACATCGTCACTTTAGCAAATGTGGCATTCCAGAACTGAGCGCTCTGTTTTCGAATCTGTTTATTCTTGTGCAAAAATATTATGCATAATAACGGAGAGATCTGTTCAAGAAGTTCGCTGTCATAAGTTCCAGTGTAGCTGAAGTGCAGACAAGTAATTATCTCTCCTAATAGCTTTTCTAACTAGGAAAAAGGAAAATTTTGTTAGGATAACATTTGGAAATGTGCTTTTAAAACAGTAAAGATAAAAGCACAAAAATTATAAATTAAGCAACTCACAACATGCTACCACTTCTTCAATTTTTACAATTCAAATGGTTTTTAAAGCACCTATTTCCTTAAATACAGGTTTATTATATAAACTGACAAACTGTCAGGTGAAATTAATTATTGATGTAAGATTTGATGTCAAGCTTATTTTCCATTAACAGAAAAAATTGTTTTCTCATTAACAGAGATTAACAGCTGGCTACACAAGTTTTACCTATAAATACTCTCCCATATAAAGGGATAAGAGTTAATGAGGTCTATGAATTTAAAGCAATGTTATTCTTCTTTAAAAACTATCTTGTGTATGTGTCCATGACATGTTATTAAATGCCTATTAAAACTGAAAATATATAAACATGAAGCTATGTTTTACAGACAATTGTCTATTTTTACCTTGTTGCTCATACAACTATACACTTTAGGAACTTCATCAAGCCTGGGAAGAAAAACACAAGAGTACCACTTATATTTCAGAAAGTTAAGCCTAAAAATACATAATGCAGCCATAAAAATGAGACATGTGTAGTGATTTTAAAAGGTGCCCCAAATCTTCATCTAAAAATTGTCAAATTACCAAACATTAAGCATGAAACAAACCTATCTTTAAAAAAGGAGTCCAAGAAAAACATCTGGAATAGACCTCAAACTACTAATACTAGTTTACTTGTTACTGTACCTTTTTTAAAAAGCATATATTATTTTTGATGAAACTTAAAAACTGAAAGACATACAAAAAATTGATGTATTTAGGGTTCTACTTTGTACTTTGTAAAATTTGTTCCTGAAACTTTCTCTATGAATATAACTTTAAAAAGATGGGACAATTATGATTGAACCACATAAGCTTGACAGAAAAGACATCAATGAATCCTTTCAAGCTGCTTTTTAAAAAGTATGCTATTTGGGATATTTTCATGTTTTTCTTAAGGCAATGGTTGCTTCAATTCAAATGTAAAGGATAATGTAAATTAAAATAATTTTTTACAGGATAATTAAGAAATTTAAATGTGTATACCATTTGGACCAACAATTTAACTTCTAGGGCCTTGTTCTGCAGACGTAGTAGAAAATGAGGACACTGATGTGTACAAATATGTTCAACTATAATATTGTTATGAGTGAACAGGCTGGAAAAACACATATGTCCACTAATAAAAAATTGGGTACAAAGTTTCATGGAACCCTATGGAGACATTAAAGACAATGAGATTCTTATATGTATGGTGCAAGATACATACAATATTTTAAGTGCACGCCATATACTTAATGGCAAAGTAGCATGTCAAATATGCTACATGTAAGTCATACACTTAACAGGTGTATTTATTTGTATTAAGAAATCTAAAAAGAGATGTACTAAATTGAAAAGGGGGGTTGAGGGGTGCCTAGGTGGCTAAGTTAAGTCTCTGACTTTAGCGCACGTCATGATCTCGTGGTTCATGAGTTCCAGCCCCACATCAGGCTCTGAGCATCAGCTCCGAGCCTGAGCCTGCTTCAGATTCTGTGTCTCCCTCTGTCCCTGCACCACACACACTCGCTAAACATTAAAAAAATTTGTTTTTGAAAAGGAGGGTTGAACTACCATACAAAATTAAAAACTCACAATTTCTACCTCGTTTTATGTATGATTTGAACTATCTTTTTAACAAAAGCAGAGTATATTGTCCTCTTCACTAAATTGTAGATTACCATTTGTAACCACACGCTGCTAGGAAAATGACCAAAGTTTGCTACCTATATCCAACACGCTTAATTTAAAGCTATTAAGTCAAAAAATACTTACTTTGAGTTTTCATAAAATAATGCCAGAGGTCTTGATAAAGTTGCAAATATTTTTCGGATCATAGAAGGCAAAGAAATACGTCCAAGTACTTTGGAAAGAATACTGGTGACTGAGTTGCCAACAGTGAGGAGAGTATCAGAATGTACTTCCTTGAAGCTCAGAGTATGGAAAGAGTAGATCACTTTCACAATAAGTTTAAATAAAGAAGCCAATTTCCCTAAAGGTTCTTTCTTCTTTTTGGACCAATCTGAAGGTCTCTGTGGTGCTAAGATAAAATTGAATTTATTAAAAAGTCAAGTACTTTGAAAAGTGTCATTGTACATCTTTACAATTTATCTCATTTAAATGACAGATACTGTACATCTCATATACGTGTTTCTGTAGAATGATACTCAAAATTTTAAAATGATATGCCATTATTGGATATACACCATTACAACCGTATCTTTAAAACAGAAGCAGAGACAAAGGAAAACTATTTGGCAGATCTAGAAGAATTCCAGAAAAGTGGGTGTCTTTTCTCTAAACAATTATAAAACGCATTTCAAGTTTTTATATTCTCTGAATTTCAACTAATTCATAAGTACTAAATTATGTAAGTTCCAAAACTAAATTTTAAAATTCAATTTTTAAAACAAAATTTCCCTTAGAAATTATTGCTTCCTGTATAATAAACTGAACCCTACAAATAACATTAATCAAATCACAGATCCAAATCCTCAGCAAAAATACAGGAAAAGCTTAAATTTAAAGAAAAAGATGTATCTTAAAAGCACTGTCCGACACTCCTGTTTACTATTCTTAGATTCTGCCTCTCTTCAGATACCTACCTACAGGGATGAATCCACTCTGTCAAAAAAACAAAACAAAAAACATAGTCCGAAATTACCCGTTTCCCTCAAAGAATCCAGTCTCTAAAAGTAGAATAGCTCAGATTTAAGAGAAAACTCTCCTTCTTCCCTAGAATCTGTTTCCCAGATGAATATAAATTAGAATGGTCTCCCTGAAATTCCAGGCCAGGATGTTAAGCCTGACAAGACAGCCCATGAGTCAGGCAACACCTATCCCAAACGTCTACTCAAGAGGATCCAAAAGCAGTGACATCTTAGTCACAATGACTAGACCTTGGTTTCTAAACGCCATCTTCAGCAAAAGGAACCATGTTTCTTGGAAATATGTCTGGTTCCAGGCTTAAGGAGGGAGAAGTACAGAATGAGCCTGATTATCTTATGCCAAAGTTCTCAAAAAATAATGGAAACACATGAAATGGTCAAAGAGGCAAACATGAGCATAAATATTAATAGCAAAGAATTATAAACCAATGAATAACAGAAACTCACAGTGGTAAAAATAAAATGGGACAAAGGAAGTTCTATCTTACATTAGGATGTCATCTGCACCTGGAAGTGACTGGTGCCTAACAGTGCTCAGTAACGGCAGAATGATTTCTTAGAATAGAGATAAATAATAGGGACAGCTTTTAGAATTAATTAAAGACAAAGGAGCTAAGCATCTTGACACAATTTAACATAATCAAATGAAACAACGAACTATTCTTCTGGTAACATTAGTGTTTCAGGCAAAAAGCATTAGTGGATGATAAAATCATGAGTGAAAACTGGCTGAGAAAAAAAGTATATAGTCTCAAATAACCTGCCACAAAACATTAATTTATTAATCATAGGTACTCTACAGTAATTTACAGTGGAAAACTTGGCAGATATTGTCTTAACCAACTAGCAAATGTTAACATTACCAGTACTGCGACAAATAACAACATCTTAATAACAAACATCAAATTTTCCTGCCCAGATAATCCCTTGTATAAGATGGCAAGTAAAATCACTCTTACTACACAATCTCTAAATAGAATAATATTGATCTTTCAGTGTTATACAAAGGAATAAAGATATGTGGGTGCGTATGTGACAGAGAGAGAGAGACTGTGAGCATGGGCATGTAAGAGCATTTAAGCTCCTAGCATACCAAAGTTATATAACAAACTTGTAGGACATGGTTATACATCAAAAGTCAGCAAAATGAGGTCAGAAAAAATATTAGGATTTGCCTTGACAACAGTTTAGACAGTCGTGTTTATCAAATACTGGGTGAACAAAATAAAAACAAAAGTACTTACATTTTACTTTTGGCTGATATTTAATATTATATGGTGAGAAGTCAATGCAATCAACCATTACAGTAATAATATGAATGATCCTATCTAAGAGCAACAAATTCTGGGGAAGAAAAATTAAATATTATATTAGAAACTTCCAACTACTGGCATAAATTCCAAATATAGCGAGCATCAACAAAAAATATAAGACATTCATTCCCACATATAACCTATAAGGTACATGAAATACAGTTATGAATACTTGCTCATTAACTTCTGTGTGCCAAGTACCATAATTTTTGTTTCTCAACATTTAGGGAAAATAAATCATTTTTAAGATGTCCAGTAGACTCAGCATATAAACCAATAAAATGAGTCTGACGAACAAGGTTCCCTTTCTTTTTTAACTTATAAGTTCATTTATTTTTTTTAGTAATCTCTACACCCAACACGAGGCTCAAATTCATGACCCCAAGATCAAGAGTCACAGGAAGTTAACACCTATTCTCTTGAAGCAGTTCCAAAAAATAGAAAAGGAAGGAAAACTTCCAATGCATTCTATGAAGCCAGCATTACCTTGATTCCAAAACCAGACAAAGACCCCACTAAAAAGAACTACAGATCAATTCCCTGATGAACATGGATGTAAAAATGCTCAACAAGACATTAGCCAACCATATCCAACAATACATTAAAAAAAATTATTCACCAAGACCAAGTGGGATTTATACCTGGGGTGCAGGGCCGGTTCAATATCCACAAACAATCGATGTGATTCATCACATTAATAAAAGAAAGGACAAGAACCACATGATCCTCTCAACAGATGCAGAAAAAGCCTGTCACAAAATACAGCATCCTTTCTCTCATCCCTCATGAAAGTAGGGATAGAAGGATCATACCTCAAGATCATAAAAGCCAAATATGAATGACCCAATGTTAATATCATCCTCAATGGGGAAAAAAACCGAGAGCTTTCTTTCCCGCTAAGGTCAGGAACAAGACAGAGATGTCCACTCTCGCCACTATTATTCAACATAGTATTGGAAGTCTTAGCCTCAGCAATCAGATAACACAAAGAAATAAAAGGCATCCAAATCGGCCAGAAGGTCAAACTTTCACTCTTCGCAGATGACATGATACTCTATATGGAAAACCCAAAAGATTCCACCAAAAAACTGCTAGAACTAATCCACGAATTCAGTAAAGTTGCAGGATATAAAATCAATGCATGGAAATTGGTTGCATTCCTATACACCAACAATGAAGCAAAAGAAAGAGAAATCAAGGAATTGATCCCATTTACAATTGCACCAAGAACCATAAAATACCTAGGAATAAATCTAACCAACAAGGTGAAAAATCTATACACTGAAAACTGTAGAAAGCTTATGAAAGAAATTGAAGAAGACACATAAAAAAACAGAAAAAGATACCATGCTCCTGGATAGGAAGAACAAATATGGTTAAAATGTCAATACTACCCAAAGCAATCTACATATTCAATGCAATCCCTATCAAAATAACACCAGCATTCTTCACAGATCTAGAACAAACAATCCTAAAATTTGTATGGAACCAGAAAGACCCTGAATAGCCAAAACAATCTTGAAAAAGAAAACCAAAGCAAGAGGCATCATAATCTCGGACTTCAAGATGTATTACAAGGCTGTAATCATCAAGACAGTATGGCACTGGCACAAAAACAGACACTCAGATCAATGGAACAGAATAGAGAACCCAGAAACGGACCCACATATGTATGGCCAACTAATCTTTGACAAAGCAGGAAAGAATATCCAATGGAATAAAGACAGTCTCTTCAGCAAGTGGTGCTGGGAAAACTAGACAGCGACATGCAGGAAACCAAACTTGGACCACTTTCTTACACCATACACAAAAATAAACTCAAAATGGATGAAAGACTTAAAGATGAAAGACAGGAAGCCATCAAAATCCTCGAGGAGAAGAAAGCAGGCAAAAACCTCTTTGATCTTGGCCACAGCAACTTTACTCAACACGCCTCCAGAGGCAAGGGAAACAAAAGCAAAAATGAACTATTGGGACCTATCAAAATAAAAAGCTTCTGCACAGTGAAGGAAACACTCAGCAAATCTAAAAGGCAATGACAGAATGGGAGAAAATATTTGCAAATGACAGATAAAGGGTTAGTATCCAAAATCTATAAAGAACTTATCAAACTCAACACCCAAGAAACAAATAATCCAGTGAAGAAATGGCCAAAAGACATGAATAAACACTTGTTCAAAGAAGACATCTGTCCAGATGGCCAACAGACACATGAAAAAATGTTCAACATCACTCGTCATCAGGGAAATACAAATCAAGACCACAGTGAGATACCGCACCTCACACCTGTCAGAATGGCTAACAACTCAGGCAACAACAGATGTTGGCGAGGATGTGGAGACAGAGGATCTCTTTTGCACTGCTGGTGGGAATGAAAACTGGTGCAGCCACTCTGGAAAACAGTGTGGAGGTTCCTCAAAAAATTAAAAATAGAACTACCCTACAACCCAGCAATTGCACTAGGTATTTATCCAAGGGATACAAGTATGCTGTTTCAAAGGGGCACGTACACCCCAATGTATTATAGCAGCACTATCAACAAGAGCCCAAAGTATGAGTCCACATGTCTGTCAATGGATGAATGGATACAGATGTGGTATATATATAAACAATGGAGTATTATTCGACAATCAAAAAGAATGAAATCTTGCCATTTGCAACTATATGGATGGAAGTAGAGGATATTATGTTAAGCGAAATTAGTCAGAGAAAGACAAATATCATATGACTTCACTCATATGAGGAATTTAAGACACAAAACAGATGAACACAAGGGATGGGAAGCAAAAATAATATAAAAACAGGGAGACAAAACATAAGAGACTCTTAAATATGGATAACAAACAGAGGGTTACTGGAGGGGTTGATAGAGGGGAGATGGGCTAAATGGGTAAGGAGCATTAAGTGATCTACTCTTGAAATCACTGTTGCACTACATGCTGACTAACTTGGATGTAAAATAAAAAATAATAAATAAATAAATATCACATACTCTTCCAACAAAGTCCACTAGGTGCCCCATAAGAACAAGGTTCTTTTTTCTTGTTTTTAATGTTTATTTTTGAGAGAGAGAGAGAGAGAGAGAGAGAGAGAGAGAGAGAGAGAGCGCACAAGTGGCAGTGGGGCAGAGAAAGAATCTGAAGCAGGCTCCAGTCTCCAAGCTATCAGCACAGAGCCTGATGCAGGGCTTGAACTCACAAACTGTGAGATCATGACTTGAGCCGAAGTCAGATGCTTAACCGACTGAGCCACCCGGGGGTCCCAAGAACAAGGTTCTTAATTAGAGTCTTTATCAAATTCTTCATGAAAATTACAAGTGTTCACCGAACCCAGTGACAAAACAAAACAATGAAAAAGTTGCTAAGCTCCCTCATACCCTTTCCTCCTCCTCCTGTAATCCAACTAAAACAAAAATAAAATTCATAGAAGCATCAGAGATTTTCTGGAAACATTTTTTTAAAGGCAGGGAGACTAAACACAGAACCAAGAAAATCCCAGCACCATGAGTTCCAAAGAAAAAAAAGCACCTCCAAAATAGCCTTCCTAGCAAAACTTTTTTTTTTTTTTAATGTTTATTTATTTTTGAGAGAGAGTGTGTGCACAAGCAGGGGAGGGGCAGACACAGGATCCAAAGCAGGCTCCAGGCTCTGAGCTGTCAGCACAGAACCCAATGCAGGGATCGAACTCACAAACTGTGTGATCATGACCCGAGCCAAAGTCAGATGCTCAACTGACTGAGCTCCCAGGCACCCTCCTAGCAAACCTAAGTAACAAAAGACACAGTGAGAGTTCTGAGAAAAAAGTTAAAACACTACTGAAATTAAAGATCTATAAAACAAATGCACTTTCTTCTCCCCTTATTCTCCATTACTATCCACTTTTCCACTTCACTGGGATAATTCACATGTCTGCCCCCAAAGACAATTTCCCCCAATGAGTATTAAGAGCCAGGAGAAGGAAAGCAGCAGTGCCCCAATGAACCAACAAAAATTACACAGAAAGTCCAGATGACAATCCATATTTTCATATACAAAAGATGTTAAATCCCCAGGTGTTTCCTTCAGGCTCCAATGACCAAGTAAAAGATGCCTCTAACTTCAATTTGCTATCAAGGCTGGAAAAAGAGGGGCTCTCTCTAGGAAACACATTCCAGATACCAGTATTGCTCAGTATTAGCCTTAATCAATAAACATGCACATTCACAAGGAGAACCAGTCATGGGAAAGGTGGGCTAAACATCAACAGTACTAACCCATAGGAAAAATCTAATAACAAACAAAAGGAAATTAAAAATAGTAATCACAGGAATGCCTGCGTAGCTCAGTTGATTGAGCATCCAACTCTTGCTTTTGGCTCAGGTCACGATCCCAGGGTCATGGGATCAGGCCCCATATCAGGCTCCATGCTGACAGTGCAGAGCCTGCTGGGGATTCTCTGCCCCTCCCCCACTCTCTCTCAAAAAAAATAGAGAAAGTAATAATAACTAAAAAAAAACACTAATTAAAAAAACAAAACCATTATCAAACACTTCAGCATTTAAACCACAAATTAAGTCACAAAGTAACCAAGCTCCTAGAAAGCAGTACCAAACAAAACACAAACAGGTATAGAGAAAGAAAAAGAAGGGACACAAAAGATAAATTCAAAGGCCTAAAAACCACCTAAAACAGTACTGAAAAACAGAAGGGACAAAGAACACCATTAAAGCAAGGCAATTTTTCTGAGATGAAGGCACAGCTCTTTAGATTGAAAGGGTCTACTAAGCATCTAACTTCAGCTCAAGTCATGACCTCAGTTTAGGAGTTCAAGCCCCACACTGGGCTCTCTGCTATCAGCACAGAGCCTGTTTCCAAACCTCTGTCTCTGCCCCCCTCTGCCCCTCCCCGTGTGCACCCTCTCTCTCAAAAATATTTAAAAATGATAAAGACACCCCAAGAGACACCCTGCTGAAATGTCTAAATTCCAAAAACTAGAGAAAAATCCTGTAACTTTACAGAACAAAGTTATTAAGGAAAAAAAAAAAGTATCAAA